CTCGCAACAGTCGTCCTCCGGGCCTTGGGGTCCGGCTGTTGGGAAGTAGAAGCTCTTGGAGCGCCCGTCTAAAAAAAGAAGAAAAGAGTTAGTATATGCATAAACACAACTCCAAAAAGAGGGTGAAAGGTTCGAAGCCCACCAAGGGTGCCCCGTTGTTGGGGGAGTCGGTTGAAGACTATTGCATGATGGAGGCCCGCAACATGGTCGCCGCAGTCTTGGAGGCGGTAATTTTGCTCATGGCGTCCGCTGCAAAAACAAATAGCAAAGTTAATAAAAGTCATAACAAGAAATGCACGGAATAACAGAGTATTCGACAGGCCGGCTACCTCTTGAGCACCGACTGCTGAGGCCACAGGCGGCCAAAAGTACTCGTCGTAGAGCCATTTGAAGCTCGGGACGCAGTGCAGGGGTACTTGCTCTCGTACCCCTGAAGTAGATTTCACCTTCGACTCTACTTTGAAGAGTCCTTTATCTAGGATCTCTTTCTTAGCCTTGGGGGGAACAGGCGGCATGCTGCGGCCGCCTGCAAGAAGGGGCGGATTCCTGTTCCACCTGTTGAAGCGCTTGTTCAGCTCTGTGTCTGAACTCTCAATGATAAGGAAGGTGCTCCGCTAGTCCTTCCATTTGTTTGCTTTACCTCTTGTCATGAGGTAGCCCCTGTGGATCGTCAATTGATACCAGCCGGTACCGCCTGCCTTAGGGGTCCGGCTGAGGTAGTTCATGTGGGCGAAAGCCTCAAAGTTCGGCTCCACCCCGTGCAGTTCGCACCCAGCCACATAGCCGAGTACGTTGACCCAGGAGTTCGGGGCTAACTGCCATAACCCCAACTCATACCCATCCAAGATCCGCTGAACAGCCGGATGTAGTGGGAAGCGCAGCCCAGCCTTGATGGTCGCCTCGTAGCAGCCAAAGCAGGCGCCATCATAACTGGTACCAGCCGGCCAGACGACTGTGTCTTCTGGATCCGGCACGAACACCAAAAAGTCGGGGTCCATTGTGTGGTTTGCGATAAAGCTCCCCACTTTCTCTTGCATGGCCGTGATCCGGCCCCGAGGTATCGTGTAGTAGTAGGGGGTATTTTGCTCTCGGTGAGAGGCGGATGGCTCCGCCCAATCGTCCCCCTTATCAACTGCGTGAGAAAGCCTCGCCTCTTGTAGGCGACTGTTTTTCTCTTCTGTGTCCAGAGAAGCATGGCCAGAAGAGCTAGACTCGGATTCGTCCTCTGACGAGTCCGAAGAGGACGACTCCTCCCCTCTCCCGGAGGGGCCCGCCTCCTCTTCTTTAAAAGGAGCAGGAGAGAATGTAGAATTGTCAACTGTAAAATGGGAAGGGGTCACTTTGACTCCTCCCTCAGAACTGCCGGCTTTCAAGCCGCTTTGTTTCACTTCCACATCTGGCGCCTGGTCAGATGTTTCACTAATCGGCACCCTGTGGGAGGAGCCGTCTGAGTTTGAGATCCTGGCAGTCTTTTTTGTTCTGGCCATCATGCTCTGCATAGACACAGATACAGTCGGACTTTGTATAAAGGGAAAAGATGGGTCCAGAAAAGGGCAGGCGGCACTCCTAGTCCTAGATTCAGTCGTCCCCGGTGACCCGCTGATCACTAACCTAGGTCGTGTCGTGTGCTTCCGTGGTGCCATTTCAAAAAAGAATAAAGTAAAGAGAAAATTAAGAGTAAGAGAACCGACGGTTACCTGAACGAGTGACGATTGATGAAGTTCTGAAAATCATTTGCAGTCGGCTTGTCAGAGCAGGCGGTAGGCAGAAAGGGTCCAAAATGTCAGAGCAAGTTCAGGGGTCCGAATGTTCTCTCACAAAGTTTTCAAGTGTGAAAATGACCGAAGTCAACACTCCTTTATATAGGCGAAGTGAGAAGGCGAAGGGTCACTATCAGAATTCAAAATTTTGGCGGGAGAATCTCTCGGCCTCTCGCCGAGTGACACCTGTAGCAGGCCGTCGCCTGTTACAGGGCGATACCTGTCACAGGTAACACGTGACCAGTCACGTGCCACCTGTGGGGGCAAATGATTAGGGGATTTTGCTCCCACCAATCGGAATGCGCCACGTGGGCCAATCAGGTCCTGCCAAGTGTCCCCCAGTTGGACCTCTCAGGGTTTGCCACGTGGCACACGCTTATTCGTCCACCATGGACTTATTATGTCATGACACGTGGCATACTCCATGCCTAATGGAGAAGCCGGCCACCTAGGCCCAACTTCCGAGGGAAGCCCAATCAGCCCAAGGTTAACCTAAACCTAGATTGGCACGTTTCCCGAGGTTATAAATACCTCCCTTAATCCTCATTAAGGGAGATTACGCAGATTACACACATTTAACACTCTCACCTAGAGAGACCCAATCACTTTAATTTCCGCATTAATTACTCCTTAATCAAGTACTAACTTGACCGTCAGAGGCGGATCTCCAATCATCCGGAGCATCCGTTTGTTTTGCAGGTACAGGCGTCCGGTTCCAGTCTCGGAATTGTAACTCTCCCGCAGGACATCAGAAAAACCCGAAACAGTAAGTGCTTTAATTGATTAATTGATGTTATGATGTAGAAATCACGTTTACATTGTTCTTATGATATTCCTAGTATCATGTCTAGGGTAACTTTAATACAAAATATGATTCCTGCGATGCTTCCTATGTTCTTCCTAATATTTATGATTGTTAGTATCATGTTAGGGTTAAATATTTGATTTTTATTGCTTAGTGACATGCTAGGGTTTGTTATTAATCTTGTTAGTATCATGCCTAGGATCTTGCTATTATTATGCTTTAACATAATTCATGATTATTTTTATGATTATAATGTTATAATTATTATTATTATGATGATGATTATTTTATTCATGATATTATTTATTATGTTGCTTGATGTTTATTTATTTATTGCTTGATCACACTTTTATGCATGTTTAAAGGGAATCTATACTTGTAATCACGCTTAATAAGATAATTAATAATCTTGTTTAGGGTTAATGTGATTATAATTCAAGTGATCGCCAATAATAGATTTATTTGTGCATTAATATTCAACCAACATAGATAAACAGGTTTAAGGTTAATCCTATTGATTGCATGTTAATTAAAAAGCGCACATGAATACGATCAGAATAAAGTAGAGGCCTATTATTAGGGCAGGTTCAATCTCTTTTAGGTTGGATTTGTACCTTCATCCCCGAACCCTTATTTGGTTCTAGACCTTATGGAGTTGACGATCTCTTGGATCGTTAAGGGGTGTAACCTTCACCTCGTGAACGGTTTACAAGTTCCTTAAAAAACTTGTTGGCGACTCTTTTGCTCTATTTTCTTCCCTTTTAGACGCCACCGTACTTTAGTGTATGATCACAGTGGGGTTCAAGCTAGTGGGATTTAAAGCTTGAAATTATTCCCTACAGTTTGTAATGAATGTTAACATTGAATAATGTATGCCTTTTTATAGGAGGCAATTTTGGTTAGAATTTGAACTGAAATTTGAAGGAAGTGTGAAATTTAAAAGAAGTTCAAAACTTTGGTGGAAAATGTGAAATTTCAAAATTCACACCAAAAAAAAGAGGCAAAAGTACATTCCCTCTTCTTTGAGTCTGATTTTCACCAATCAAAATGAGGGTCTACCAAATTCCCGTCTTTTTCCCACTTAGTTAATCATCCCCAAAATCAAAAAATAATGGGTTTTTCTAAGCTATACCCTTAAGGTATTCGAGTTTCTAAGGTGTACCCATGCTTTTTCAAGTTTCTAAGCTGTGCCCTTCAACTCCTTATCAATACTAAAATGTACCCTTATTAGTTATTTAAAAGTTATTTGAGAGTGTGATTTCGTGGCTTCAGTTTTCATTATTAGGGTTGCGATGGCTAAGATTTCTTTCTCCTACCATTTTCTTACCTTTTATCATCTTTCTATTAAATTTATAGTTAACTTTAGGTGACGTGGAAGTCTCAATGAGGGTACCATTCATTAATGGTAGTGAGCTGAGGGACACAACTTAGAAACTTGAAAAAGCATGGGTACACTTTAGAAACTCGAATACCTTAGGGGTATAGCTTAGAAAAACCCAAAAATAATTGTGTGTGGAAGGAGTATAATAATAAGAACAAAGACACCTGCGTTCTATAACAACGGGTCTCTTTGTAATTTTTATTCTTAAAAAATAAAAAACAGCTGATGTCTTTAGTGGTTTTATTAATAAAATCGTTAATGACATTAAAGGTTCTAAACTGAACCAAGCACCGATCCTACTTGAACGGTACCTTGGGAATTTAATTTAAAATCGATGTATAATGGGAATTAGTTTTTGATTCAACTATATTGAAAGAGAAATCACTCTATCAATAGTATAAAATATATATAGTCTATGTTAGAGTAAATAAAAGTTAAGTTCAAATATGAGCAAGGATTGGGAGTACATGCACGGTGCAGCTGAGACAAACTCGTGATGAAATCAAAAACAGCAAAAGATTCAAGGCAATCAATAATATCCGATACATGTGTTGGTTTTACACTAATTTGTAGGAATAATTCTTGTATAAGGCAGGTGTATGTTAATTTTATTGTAAAACAATTTATTTAAGTGCATTTTAACTATTTTTATGGTAATTTGGTTTGAATTTTAGTTTAATCTGCAATTTTTTTATAGAAACGTGATTACATACTATAAAAATACTAATATGTTAATCTAATTTATTTCAACTTTTTTGTAATATAATATTATTAATATTAAAAGAATAACTTTAAGTATTTTTAACATAAATTTAACCTGTTTTACAATAAAAAAATTTTTTTTTGAAAGACACCAGTTTTACTATAAATTAACGTATACCCGGGTTTTTTTTTTTTTTTTTTTTTTTTTTTTTTTTTTGAGAATTTGCGTGTTTATATTCAGCTTTTCAATTAGGGTGTTTTGTCTGGTTATTCAACTACTAAAACTCTTGTAAGAAATGATCATGAACAGAAGCGATAGTTTACTGGCGATTTAATGAAAAACTGATTCACATAGAGAGTAAAATATAAGGTATATTTTTTGACGAATATTTCCAAATTGTTTGCACAATTTAACTGTTGTTTATTTTGAACAAGAAAATACCATAAAATTTCATGTCATTTGGCTAAATTCTCGTTGCAACACAAAGTATATACCAAGCATCAAATACACTCCTGGCGAAATTGGTACAGGTTTAATGGCATAGTTTCCAGGAAGTCAAACTGCACCCTTCACATCCAAGTTTACAGCATCATAACCATCAAGAAGAACACCTAGGAAAGAAAGTTTGACCCACATAACCCCCACCCATAGCTCTTTTCACATTGTTTTCGAAAATTTTTGGATTATCCCTTAACACAGCAGCGGCATCATGATTTAAAGGGTCTTCATAGTTTGGTTGCTGCGCACACAAATAGAATGCCGCATTATAATGCAATTCGATAAAGTAAAAAAAAAAAACTCCAGGTAAAGGGAAATTTTAGTACCGTGAAGAGATGATACAACCCATAGATGACAGTGTTGACATTCAAAACAGGTTTCCAGTCTTCTCTTAGAATGTTAAGGCAGACATTACCTTCCAAGTCGATGTTGGGATGGTATACCTGCCAAATACATACAAAAAGTTGGGTCAAAAATTGTGCGGAACTCACTTAACTGGTCAATTTGTGATAACTACTCGCTAAAAAATTTTATCAAAAAAACTACCCTCAAATTTAAGAACTTTGGGTAGCTCTACCCTTTTTCAGTTACCGGCAACTAATTCTAGTGAGTGGGGCCCATTCATTATTTTTCCTCAAAAAAAAAACATCGTCACCTCGTGCATATTAACCAACCCACCTTTTCTTTGCAAAAATTTAGTCCAAAAAACGAACTCTTTGTGAAAATCACCAATTAAAGAAAGAAAAACAATTTGGTTTTCACAAAAATTTTGTTTTTTGGGTTGAGTTTTTGCAAAGAATAGGAGGGTTCATTAATATATACGAGAGTAATGATGTTTATTTGGAGGGAAAATAACAAATAGGTCCCATTTGTCGGAATTAATTGTCAGAAAATGAAAAAGGATAGTGCTATACAAACTTTTAAATTTAAGAGGTAGTTTTTTTTATAAAACTTTTTAGCGAGTAGTTGATAACAAATTAACCTGTTAAACGAGTAGTTCCTGACAATTATTCTTAAATAAATAAGTTATCATTTTATGTAACATAAGACGGTCTTCCGTAGAGAATCACTCTATTTACCTTTGTCTTGCACTTAACCTTGGGAGGCTCATGAGGATATACACATGGAACTTGGAAGGTGAACACAAATGTGCCGCCTCTGCAATCAAAAGTAGAGTTGTCAATTCGAACGTTCGGATCGGGTTTAGTGAGGTCGGGTCGAGTCAGGTCAATTTTTAAAGTAAAGTCATACGAAATTATTATATTCATACGAGTCGAAATCTGAATCGGATATTTTTCGAGTCGGCTTCGAATCGGTTTGGGTCAGGTGTTGTTTTGACTTTTGACAACTCTAATCAAAAGTTCCCTTATAATATCAATACACTACACAACTACTCCCTGCGTCTCTTAAAGTTCTTCCTATTTTAATAGTAATTGTCTCACAAATGAAAAAAGTTAAACTTTTTGAGATGGAGTGAGTTGATAAGAAGAAAGAAACAAGGAATGCCAATCAAGCATAGCCAAATGAATTATAAATGAAGTTCAATGATCCAAAAAGAAATATACCAATGTAATTTTCCTCCACACTAGTTATATAGTTAAGTTACTTCCTCTGTACCATCACTGTACATGCATTCTTTGGACCTTTGACACTATTCATTCACTAGCTTTGACTATACTCTTGTTTTTTTTTTTTCCTTTCTGATATATTAAATTTTAAATCATTGTGTGAAATGCTAAAATGTTAGTGTGAATAATTTTAATGTATACTATCAAAAGTTTTATTAAAAAATTTCATACTAATAACAATTTTTAGGCAAACATAAAAGTCAAATTGATGCGTTCATTGTGAAATAGAGGAAACATAGATATAGATTTTGACCAAACTGCACGGCTGCACCCTCTCCATGCTCCACAATTACAAGAAAAAAGTGAACAAAGAATAAAGCAATAATAAGAACTAAGCGCTAGTTAGCAATAGCCTATGAATTATGACTGTTATTAAGAAAAGACATCAGTCGTGAGACTCGTGATGCAATCCAGGTGTTGACATGATTTAGTAGAAGAGACACTTACAAATAATATCCCTCATCAGGCCGGATAGTAACTTCAAAATTCATCAGGTCATCCTTTCCATTGGGAAATGTTATGGTACATGATTTGGGCAGGTTCAGTTCACTAATATCTAGAAAAAGTCAATATATTAGAGCCACATTATGTAAACAGAAGAGGTAACAGTAATGTGAAACGTAATAATTCCCACATGAAACTATTCTAACAGGTTACTTTTATTATGCAGAGAGATCAGTTTATAACCAGAAACTAGCAAAAAATTGTGAAAGAAAACGTGAAACTTGCAAAACACTTCCCAGCGCATAACATGACATAAATAATCAACAATCAACAATAATCCCGGTCAGAACAGAGCAACTGAGGAGCAAGAATCTCACTGATCCATCCAATCCACACACACAAGAGAGAGAGAGAGAGAGAGAGAGAGAAAGAGAGAGAGAGAGAGAGAGAGAGAGAGAGAGAGAGAGAGAGAGAGAGAGAGAGAGGGAGAGAGAGAGAACAAAATCTTTATCCCAGTCTCTTACATAAAACCAATGACATGTTCAATGGAGGATATCGCAGCACAAGGTAGTTCTTCAAACCATCCAACATTTAGAGATTGATCATTAAATAAAAAATAGAATGATACAAAGTCAAATAAATTTTTTCCCTTCTTGGATCAGCAAGTTTCATTCTTAGTGTGCTTGCCACCTAAAATAAATCTTTTTACTTCTGCCTGACAAATATGGAGTAAAACCAAAAAGAATGGGACTCTTGATTTTGAGCCAAAACTTCTAGTGCTGAAGGCCATAACTTTAAGCACAACTTACACAAGGCCAAGACTACAACACCATTAAATATGACCATATGAGTCCCAACTAAAGCTTTTTAAGAAAGAATACCTTTATGAAGACGTAATTCTCCTGCTGTTTGCTTCTTGACATGGGTATTTCCATTAAGATTTTCAGCATTTTCCTTCTGTTTGGCTTTCACTCTGAACAAGTTAATCATCTTCTCTGTATTAGAAAAGGAAACGGGTGAATAACAACCTCAATGGTAATCGCCCACTTAATCTCACAAAAAGGCACGAAATATTGTACATTAATGCAAAAGATGCAGTCATGATACTGTTTTACTCATATCAGCAGGATTATTAAACATGAGGAAAAAAATTTAAATACCATCAAATCTAGATTTTCATAACATATGAAAACACACACTTATTCATTGACCAGATACCAAAATTAATTATACAAGTACAATTTTAAAGTTTCATTGCTACATAGTCATAACAAAGGAATGAATTTACATGTTGTAAGCATTGTTATAAAGATAAGGAAACCTTTATGCTATGTTTGGATAAGAAATTAGAAGGGAAATGGAAGGGAGGGAAATAGGAGGAAGGGGAAGGAAGGGAAAGTGGAGGAAATGATGAGCTCCATTTTCCCTCCAAATCTCTCCAATTTTAAAGGGATGGTCTTTATTAAAGGAGGAGTAAAAATGGATCCCTCCCTCCCCCTCCCCTCCCCCTCCCCCTCCCCCTCCCCCAACATATTATACAAACAAGGAACTTTGTCCCCCTCCCTTTCCCTTCCCTTCATTTCCTTCCATTTTTTGTTATCCAAACATAGCCTTAAGTCCAAGCAAACAAACATTATACTTACTCAATTGAACTTGGTTTATTTAAATAGCATGTTTGGTAACAATATTTCTAGGGTTGGAAACGGATTTAATTAAACCAATACCGTTACCATGTGTTTGGTAAAAGGGTTGGAAGCGGATTTAATTAAACCATTATCGTTACTATGTGTTTGGTAGAAGGCTTGAGTAATAATTACCATTAATTAAGGGTAATGGTTTTCACCCATTTGTTACCTCTCTAAAAGTTGAGGTACACCCTCCTCAAACAAAAATGAAGAGAATTAGGCTTAGATGATTCCTTTCCATGTTTAAACAAACATATGAAAAGGTAACGATTCAATGATTCCTTTTGTTCTCTTTATTTATTTCCTTTCCACTCTATTTTCAATATTCATACCAAACGCCCCGATTGATGAGGGAAGTAGGATCAGATCGTTAAAATCAAAGTGTAGGATCGAAATATTATACTAAATATTGAAAATTGTTTTAAAATTGCAAAAATCTAATACAAAATTGCATTTTTCTATCAATATTGATCTAAAAGACATCATTTTGCCTTTGCTTACATGGTCACTAACAAGTTTAACAAACAATTAAAAGCCATAACACAGGTTGTAATTGATAAGATGGGTGTAAGATTGTCGAAATTAAGGCTTGATGTATGATAAATTTTTTTTATAAATATACACTTTCCAATATGAACTTCAAAACTTAATTCTACAAATTATAGAGTCGGTGAATCATAAGATTATATAATAGCATTGAAATTCTACCATCAATTTTTTTTTACGATCCTAAAATTCTACATACTTTATGATCCTACCTAAGATTGCGATAGATGATATGAGCAGGCCCGTCCTTAAGCCAGGGCAGAAGGGGCGGCTGCCCTAGGCCCAGGAAGAAAAGAGGTCAAATTTCATAATTCAATACTAACATTAAAGGGTTTTGCAATATATTAGCAACCAAATTTGATTTGATTATCAAATAAAGCTCGAAAAATCACATAATTTTAGGAAATTGTGATTCAATTATCCAATTACACTCATAGCAACATAATCGCTAGTTATGATCTTTCATAATCTTAATATTTAGAACAAATAGTTCAGATTTTCGAATACTACAGTAACCACACTATCTGCAATGACAATTATTTGAAATAAAATTAAATTAGATCAAAGATAAACCCTAGATTGTGAAATTGATATAATCATTACAAAAAGAAACAACAACTTACCTTAAAAGCTGATAAAAGTACTAGAAGGCGCCTCGATGGAAAATGTCAAGGGCGATTCAACGGAGAACGTTGAATGCGCTTCAATGGAGAGCTAAGAGAAAGAGGGGAGCAAGAGGAGGAGACAGGGGCTACGTTAATTCGTTTTTTGTTTTCTTTTTCCTTAATTAATTATTTAGAACAATTCAACGGGTTGGAGTCTTAGAGACTTGGAGCCCCATTAATAAAAGATAAATTTTCGAAAAGAATGAATCCTACCTACGTTTCACGTTTGTGCTATACAATGTCCGGTGTTGTGTTTTAACTTAATCATATCATATAATAATAACTAATACATAAAGTAAAATAATATAGAAGCAACCTAACCAGATTGATTAACTCTCTAGAGAGAGAAATGAAGGAAATGTATCCTCGACTCTCGTGCAATTACTAATATAATATGGATCGTATTATGGAGATAATAAGTTCGTTTAGTTGGGTCGTCTTTACGTCTTGCTAGAGACCAATATTGATCATTGGGTTAAACCAATGCCTAATAAATGGATCCTATGAGGTCACACGTTACAGTGTTAGGTCGAACATGAATACCGAGTCCAAAAGTTGGGCTTAGTGAATGACTGGCCATAAGGAGTAAGATAGGAATAAGTCTTGCCCTAATTAGATAATATGATTATATATAATAAAGGGCTTGGGGAAAAATATGACAGACGTTCATCTCTCAAAAAGAAACAACGTAATATTTTTCCCTTCCTTTCTCTCTCTACAACCGGTTAGAAGTTCTCCATAGAAGAGGAGATTAATCTCTCCCGTCCAACTAGCATTGGTGGAGGTTCAATCTACACTTGTGGACCAATATTAGAGGAGCAACAATTGGGGCTCTAATCTCCGCAAGAAGGTAGAAGAAAGCTTGGGAATTCACGCATCAAAGGTTAATTCTAAACTATTATGTGATCCTTTATTTGTATATGCATGAGATCCTGTTTAGGTGCGTATGAATGAGATTCATGAAATTCCGCTTAGAGTACCTAAAACCCTACAGTGGTATCAGTTAGCCTCTTGCATATAATTTATTGGTCACAATAATATGATTATTTTAATGTATTTTATGATTAATTTTAATTTGATTAAGGGGAGGAATTGAATTATGGATCGAATAACCCAATTAAAATATGATTTTGATTGATTGGAATCGATTAAATGTAGATTTAATTGCTCAATTTTTTTTATTAACCCTAGCCGAATTTTTTAGCCCTAAATGCATTAATTAATTTTCTGATTTTTGTTGTGTTATGAACCCTAATTTCAAAAATTAATGTGTTAACTTCATATAATTTGATTTAATTTCTCATACTTAAAAGGTTTTTAGTGTGATAAATTAATTCATGTAAAAGAGTTTTATATGAATTAGAAATCAAATTTTATCAAAAGCCCTATATTATTTAAAATGGAGATTTTAGATTAATTTTCTGAAATTATGCATAAAGGAGTTTATGTTTAATTTAATTAGATCACCAAATTAATTTTGCAAGAGTTGTGGAATTAATTAAAAATTGGAAATTAAGAAGTGAGTGGGAGCAGCCACGGCTGGGTGGCGGAACCGCCCGTCGGTGGTCCACCGTGGCTGCTCCGGTGGTCGTCAGGGGCGCAAAGGATGCAGGGCGGTGTTTTCAGGGGAGGGCGGTGGCTGAAACGTGCAACTGTTGCACAGTTCCAGCCACTGCACTAGCTGCAAGATGTGCTGGGCTGGTGCGCCTGCCAGCGCTGCTGTGGCTGGGCAACTGCCTGGCTGCGGCGGAAGGCTGCTGTGGCGGCTGGGCTCTGGCCTGGCTGCTGCGGCGGCGGAGCTGTGGCTGGCAGCCTGCACAGTCACGGCAGTCCCCTGTTTTCAGTTTCAAAAAAAAATTGATAAAAATAAAGTATTTTAATTAATTTTAAATTATGGATTTAAATTTAATTATGGATAAATGTTTGAAAATATGTTTTCAAGGAGATAAATGAGCAATTCCAATTATGGTTATTTGACTTGGTTTATGTGATTATCCATAATTTGATTTTTTAATCAAATTAAAATTAGATGGTTAACTAATGATTAGGATGGAATTTTAAATTGGTTAAGATAATCCTAGAATATAAATGTGATTTATTTTCTTAGATTATATATTTATTTGATTTCATCTCATTCCTAATTTAAATATATGATATTTTGATTATGGTAATGAATAATATGGAGATATTATCTAATCATGTCCTAAAATATGTGATATTTTGTAGTATATGTTGCCTTAATTAAGAATATCTGATATTTTAGTTTAGGAAAAGTATGCTATGTGATTTATTATGTGGCAATTGTATGTTATATATGATATATTATTATTGCTATAATTGACTAGTATGGCCCAAAGTTTAAATTAGAAAATACGATTTGCGTATCGTTGTGTATTTTTGTAATTTAAATACGATCTGCGTATCGTTAAATATTTTTGTAATTTATTTTAATTATGAATTAGTTTAATTATTTAAATACTTGATTTATCCAAATAAGAGCCCAAGATGAGAAGGCCCATGATGAAGATGGATGGAGATCCATGAAGAGTTCAAGGAGATGCCTAATCAAGCTTAGTTCTTAGGATTAGGGGCCATACTAGCTCATATTTAATTTTATTCATTTTATTATTATTCTTAAAATGTTTGTAAGGTTATTGAATGTTGTTATCAAATGCGCTAGAGTTCACTAATTTATAACAACATAATAAACTTAAGTCCCACAAATATTGAGGCTCGCTTTTCCAAATATAAAGTACTTATTAAACAATTGATTAATAGAAATGGGTCATGCCTCCGCAGGGCATTATTATTAATCTTGGGAGGTAAGGTGAAATTGCGAATTTTACACACTTAATTTGGTCACCCTCAACAAAATCATCAAAAGCATTTTGGATTTTGAAGCAAGGGGATAGTTGAACATATGATGTTATCTATCCAACCAAGAATTACAAGAAGTTGTAATTAGTAAAGGAGTTTACTTACCTTGAAAATGTAACCTTAAGGAAGGGCCTCCGTCCGCTTAATTCTACATAGGGATAGGATCTTGGAATCACATTATTCATAAAGGGACACAAAATGAATATAGTGTAAAGAAGCTAAAATGATTTCAAAGGATGTTTGAATCATAAACTACTTTGATAAACATAGTTGAACTTTGCATTTATTTGCAAATATTATGTCTTTATTGATTAATTTTCATGTTATATATGTTATCTCCTCGATTGAAAGAAATATTGAGAAACGTTCTCAAAACTAAAAGAGTATCCGTAAACCATTATCCATGCTTTGCTAAAAGGGTTTTAAAGGCTAAAAGGAGTGCTAAAAACCTATTTAATAATGTCACATGTCTAATGATAGCTTCCAAGAACTCAAAAATTTTGAACAATTGAATGGCTCCACCATTGACTCATTTTGAAAACGTTTCAAGTGATTGGACTCGATGGAGAGGTACAAGACCTCTAAAGACAACATGAGTGCGACTCACATGAAGAACCCAATATTTTTCCTTGATCAATATGATTGAACATGGTGAATGACTTGGATTTTCATACTGTCAAATGTTGACTAATTTAAGTGACATCATTCATCACTTATTGCATGCGGTGACAAATACAAGATTAAACTCCAATATGAATTGTGTTGAATGGTTTTGGCAAAATTATGTAAGATGCTTATAGTAGTTAAGCATAGTATCATTTTGAGCTTGAAAGAAATGTTCTAGATGGTTCAAATGAGAAAGGGTTAAGAAGGATGGGACTACAATAAAAGCCAAAGGATAAAGAAAAGACAAATAAGTTGTCAATTCTTAATCACAAGGCTACTAAATTGTCAAGTGCTATTATGAATAGCAAATGTTTAAATTGAGGACTGGCTCCAAGAGATTGAAAACTACCTCATAAAGTACAGTTGGAAGGTAAAGAATGGAAATGTTCCACATCAAGTAGTTATAGAAATTGATTTAGCAAAAAAAAAATCTACTTATTTGACATGTGATGTCAAGATTAACTCTCTTGTTGAAGAATGAGGTTGAGTTAAAGAGTTGAAACTTGGATAAGGGAAAAGTAAATCTACAATGTGAGAAACAAATGTTGTTTTACATGTATGACTTTAAATTTCACTTAACTATACATAGTTTAGCATTGACATAAATAATCGTTATTATATTCTTGCTATATTCAAAACATCGTTCCATTGCAGTTATCACTGAATGTCAAAGATTCAACACATCGAACAAATGTTATTCTATGCTTGGTTGAATCAAGGGATGTTTTGCAATGCTAAATAGGTTAAAGAGTTCTATATGTTAGATATAGATGAACCATTTCTATGTATGAATCACTTCTAGTAATGTCAATTTGATCAAAATACGAATAGAATTGCATACGGAAGCTCCGAAGGGATGGACTTCTAACATCATATGATTATGAATCCATTGATGCATGCAAATCTTATTGTAGTTTGATGATTGAAAAGTTTATCTTTTGGAGAAAAGGTGACGTGAACACATTGTTGAATACATAACGATGTAATTAAAAAACCTAAGGTTCACAGACTAGAGATGAACATGGACACTTCATTTAAATATGATCACACATGCTTACATGAAGCATGAATCTGAACATTTTGAAGGAGTTCAATAAGATTCAAAAGAAGAATAAAAGAGACTTGGCAAACATTGCTATATGATCGTAACAGTTTACTTTTGAATCAAATTGTTGACTTGGAAAGAATTCAACAACATTTATGACGTGATCGTAGTGATGAGCATTTGAGCCAAACTTGATGATCATCCCAAGGATTGTAAAATTAGTTTACAACATACTCCACTAAAAGAAAATGTTTTTCAAATGGAGGAATTAAACTATATAAGATATATCATAATTCATGATGAACTGTACCTATCTTCCAAACAATAGTTCTAAGGATACACTTTTAAAATGAGGCTTTTACACTAATTAAAACTGCGTCAAATCACAATGTAGATAAGACATCATATAAGATATGGATAAGAGAAGTTCTTATTTTGTTTTTCTACAAATTTAAGAATAAGAAACTTGTATTAAACTGTTTAATGCAATGTTGAATTCTAAAGCTTAGTATAAGGGTACTACAACCACAAAATATTTTGAGGACAAATTGTTTGTTGCTCTAAATTGGT